CTATGTGTGATCGTCGTTCAGTTAGGTAAGAAACATTTTTATTTTTCTAAAAGAGTGTCTACATCTAGTCAAATTTCATTATATGTCAGAGAATTGTTAATAAATATCGTAAAGTTTGTTGGTTTGTAATTAAGCACAAAGCTACAAAATGGGCTATCTGTGCTCTGCCCACCACGTGTATCGAAACCCGGTTTTTAGCGTTGTAAGTTAGCAGACATATCGCTGTGTCACTGGGGGGCAATATCGTTTAGAGAAAAGTACATCAGTGACACTTAGAAAGATCCTTTATATCAGTAAGTTATCACAACCAGCTAAGAATTTTGCCAAATAAATCAGTCTTGTTTTTTGTTTTATACTCTTAGACATATTTTCTGTACAATTCCACCTTTGAAATTGGGATATTTCTAAAGAGACTTGAGAAGAAGAAATGAATATGTAAGTTGAAAATAATTGGACTAACAGTCATTAGTGTACATTGTGTTTAGTGATGGATATAAATGCCTGAGTTACAACCGAAATTTTGGGTGAAAAGATAACAATTAGTCTTTTAAGACGGTTTACGATAAGCACAACATATGGAGACGCCATTACGTGTTATTTGGTTTTATGTTCGAAATGAACACTGACGACTGATTAAATTTATAGCTACACGTTTAATTCCAATTCTGAGAACAGTAGTAAGGTGTCACTATAAATTCACAAACCCGGGAAGTGCCGTCGGGAGCTAGTTGTTCAATGAAACAAAACAAACAAAAAAAGGAAATGGTGTGAAAGAAAGGCAAAGAAGGCGAGGAATTCAAAGTGTTCATTTAAACGCTGTTTTTTCATCCACTTGTAAGTGTTTAAAGTTGGTGTTATATAGAAAAAAATGCTACACTTAACCTTCGAAATTAATATAAAATGATGTAACTGACGTCATTATTCAAACCAATAATCTATCTTTTTAGCAAAATTCAAAGGTAAGAAGTGAGAAACGTGTTTAATTTTTAGAAGTAAAATATAGTTAGGCTAAGAACTCCTGTACAACCATCATACATGTTATAACGATATTCTTCGAAATATGGTATCATTATGTTGTATTGATATTTAAAACATGGAATGCATAAGAACATTGAGTTCAAAAAATAACAACGTGTTTTCAGTAAACTTTTTAACTGTTTAATATGTGATGTGATAAAATAGAATTCTGTCATTACAGCCTGTCTTGTCCACGCCCAATCAAATCGAGATGCTCTTGACGTATCAACAACTAACAAAAAAGTTGGAGTTGTAAGTACCAGTGATATTTAACAATGTTCTGGTTTTCTCATTATGAAAAACAAATTATCTCAAGTTAGTAATCTAACCACCAAAAAAAGTCTTAACTTGCTTACATTCCACTTTTTTACTATCACAGAGGTCATAATTTGTTATCACGTTATAATAACTGGTGGAAAGTATGATACAAAGATAACATTATTTTATTACAAGTTACAGCTTTTACAGTAAGTAAGATTTGTATTTAGAACAGGTACGACGTTTCGATCACTGTTGGATCAGTCTCAAGTACATAAGTTTTAACGGTAAAGAACGTTTTAATATTTAATTATACTAAATCGTTCTTTACCGTTAAAACTTCTATATACTTGAGAATGATCGCACCAGTATTGCGAAACGTCGTACCTGGTCTAAATACAAATCATACTTACTGTAAAAGCTCTAACTTGTAATAAAATTTATTCAATCAATAAGTAAACTCAAAACGAAACTATTAAAGGTAACATTGTTAAAGGTGTGTGGTTATTTTCAGCAATTATTTTAATATTGATAAATACTTGGTAAGAATTATCTCCCATTTGTCAAAGTAATTTTTGATAATTATACACACACAATATATATGTTGATTACTAACAGCCTGAGGTTCGATTGGGAGCAGCAGGGAGTGGAACCGACAGTAAGAACTGGAATGCAGGAGTTAAAGCTGCTGTAGGCACCAAAATATGGGAGAGTAAGAATGGTAGAGCCAGTCTCGGACTAGGTGCCGCATACAACCAGGGCTTTGCACGGTCCCATGGTTACCCTTTCAAAACAAAACCTGACTTCGGAGTCGGAGCTAGCTTCCGGTTCCGTTTCAAGAGATCAGAAAATTAAGTAAAACAGAATGGAATGTTCTTTGTGTGTGAAAGTATGTTTCTTATAGTCACAAATGGAGCTTTATAAACACCATCTTTAGAACGTGTCTTTTTAAGAAAGGACAAACGGTTAGCATTTCTTCCTTTCATTAGCATTATTTTAGTTTTACTTGATTTCCTACCTTGTTGGTCATGTTAAATTTGTTATTCAATATGTTTTTAAATAATTTAGAAATCATTTGTGAATTTTATGTCAGATGAAAAATAAAAAAACGTTTGATCTGGAGATATTTCATACGTCATGAATTCTCAAGAAAATACAGAAAATATGAAAAGTTTAGTTGCCAAAACATCTGACACGATATGAACCGCATGATGGTTTCACAGGAAATAATATTAACACATCTGTATAACAAACAATTCGAACAAGTGAATATTTTTTTAGGTTTCAGTTCGTTTTTGAAGCAGAGAATCGAGGGAAGTTTATTTCTTTGTTATTACGCGCAAAGCTACACAATAGGCAATCTGTGCTCTGCCTATCGCGGGTATTAAAACTCGATTTTTAGCATTATACCCCATACACCGCTGAGCCACCGGCGACCAAGTAGAAAGATGAGATTAAAAAATACATTATACTTAAGAATTTTCAAGTTCGAGAGTTTTTTCTGTTGAATTCGCAAAACATTGGATAATATGAAATTTAATTATAAAAATAACTGAATCATCGTGAAACAATAAGTAAATAATCATAACTCAATCAAGTTTTAAACAACACATTTCTTGTTAATTACTTGACATATGTAATTAGACAATCTATGATGTTAAGCTATGGTGGAAATGGCTCATGCTCTTAGTCAAAAAAATGTTAACTTTCCTCTTTTTGCTCATAATGTGTTGACGTTAGTCTTTTAATCTTACATATTTTATGTAAATAATTAATCGCTGTCTGTCTGTGAACGAGGGTAAGTGTCCATGGCTCTATTAATGATGTTTAGAGCTCATTATTCCACCGAGGTCTTTCATACTTTGACTTAGTGAATATTCTGTGGTAACCAAATATTTCAAAGGGTATTATTGTACTTAAATTATACCTGATTTTTTTCGGAAATGATGTACAACATTATATTTCATGAAACAAAAAGACATGAAATACGATGATGTTATAGATTCAAAATGAATTTCAAATCTAAGTAGTTTGCTTTTAGATTGAGATATTCGGAGTCAAAAATAAAAATATAATAAGAGAACGTATATAACTGATGAACTTTATTAAAACAATCACATGTATCGTCCTTTTTTGAACGTCCTGGATGTCCAAAGTTTCTGATCTTTATTTAGCCCGATAACATCCTACAAGTTTGGAAAATGCTATCAGGTTTTATTATGCTGAGATGAAGGAATTATGCGTTTTACAACTTTAAATTCCAGATCAACAAAACTCTACAGCATAAAGAATATTAGAATGTCAAAAATTATTTTATCACATTGATCTGTTAAGGGATTGCTCGACTGAAATAAATAACAATACTTATTAAGTGT